ATCGCGCTCGGGGACTGGGTGCAGCTTGGCCATTGCCTCCCGCCCGCGCAGAGGCTCCGCGCGGCGCCCGCGCGCGGCTGGGATGCCCAACGCGCCCGGAGCAGCCACGGTGCCGCCGGGAGGAGCCGAGGCAGCTGGGCGCTTTGCCAGCCTTCGGCAGGACGGAGAGGGGTGCCCGGGCTCACTCCCTGGCAGGACAGTGGCCCCGGCCGTGTTGGGAGACGCTGGTTTGTCCTGGCTGCAGTGGGTGCAATTTTTTTTTCAGTTTGTTTGTTTGTTTTTATCACTGATTTCCTGTTGTTTTGTATATTTTTCCTCAGCTTTCATTAAAAAATGAAAAATAATAAAAAAAAAGAGGGATAATTTTCTAGCGCTCGTTGCAGATAAGCTTCTGACTGGGTCACCTCAAGGCTCCAACAGTAACCCAAATAAAAGCCAAGCAGACAGAAGCCTCCTTGGCCGCCTCTTCATTCGTGGAGTCCTTCTTCTCCCTCGGCTTTTCGGAAAGGGAGGGAGGGATTTTCCCAAAGACGTCTTGCTCTGGGTCAGAGCCTGTGGCCTCATTTTCTTCCTCCTCTTCCTCTCAGCCCGGCTCCGGGCCGGGCCTCTGCCTCCTCCTTGTTGGGAGCCCCTCCAGCCCAGGAGGACCCATCTGGCCTGGGTTCACAGCCGTGTGGAGGTGCTGGAGGGGAGAGGTGCTCGCCGGGCTGCTGCCCCGCTCAGCGGGTGTGTAATCCCCTTAACTAACACTTATATAGCCTATATATACACATAAGCTATTATATACCTTAGCTGGGGTATCCCCTCTGTGGGCCAAGGCTGCGTGTGGCACCGAAGCTCCTGTGTGGGCACTGGGTGCCTTCTGTGGGGCATCGTGTGACTTGGGGTGACGTCCTCTGCCCAAACCCCGCCAGGCGCAGAGGGCCCCGCGGAGCAAACATGAGGCTTGAACCAGCCTTTTATTAGTGCTGCAATGCCGGCGTAGCGGATCGGCCGCGGGCGCTGCTCCTCACCAGGGCAGGCTCTGCCCTCGCCAGTCGAGGAAGGTGCCATTGCTGGCGGCTGAGAGCGTGGCCAGCACGCGCAGGATGCCCCGCGCGCTCTCCTGCAGCGACACGGGGCCCTGCAGGGCCCAAGGCAAGTGACACGTGAGCCCCGCTCTCCTCCAGCCTCACCAGCACCATGTGGAACAAGAGGCCGACATGGAGGAGGGATTCGGGCGAGTGGGATCAGATGTTCCCGTAAGGAATCGTGCGGAAGCTCCCACCTTCCGGGACTAAGCCTTGCTGCCCCCTGCGCCGGTGGGAGCGCGGGTGCTTGCGGAGCAGCACCCAGTGCAGCCCCACAGCCAGAGCCCAGCTCGGCGCACCCGGGGTGCCCTCTGCTGACGCACGGACACATTAGCTCAGGCCTATATTCTTAAAAGCAGCACATATATATGTATATATATATATATAATATATATATATTTATATATATATGGGGTGGGGGGAACGGGCCCCGGCTGGAAGCGCTCACCGTCTCGTCGTCCCTGGGGGGCGAAACGCAGCCAGGGGGCAGGGGCCCACAGACGGTGG